TTTTCCAGGTGATGTTCATTCTCCTCCTGCTCCTCCTCCTAGCGACTCTGCGGCTGCAAAGTGTCCATGTTATTCCTCGTGCTCAAATTGTTTCCGCTCCTCTTTCCCTTCGCTCAACATCTTATCCCTCTTGTCCTCCTTCCCCCAGTGACCATAATGCGGAGGAGGAGCAGCAGTATATTGAGTAGCAGGAAGCCCCCTCATCATCATCCTTGGCTTAAATAATGCTGTTCCACGCCGTCAGTCAATCTCCTGCTCGTCATTATCATGTTGCCCATGCTGCTCCTCCTCGTCATCGTGCTTCTCCCCAGCGTCATCATTCGCTCATGCAGCAAAAGTGCAACGATGAGCAGCAACATGAGGAGGTGGTCGAGGAGCAGCAGCACGAGTGCCCCTCCTCCGCCTCCCCTCCTCAATTTCATGATGTGGGTGCACCTCCTTTCCCTCTCCTGCTTCTAATTCTCCTGCCGTTGATGCTGTCCGTCATCGTCATCCGCCTGCTCCAGCCCACCGCCGTTGTTTTTCCCACTACGGGGGAGCAATCGGACGATAAAATCATCAAGAGAAGGGCAATTAGCAGGATGTGGGGATCTTTCAGCATGGTTCGCAGCAGCAGAAACAGGAGAGTGGCGAGAGGAAAGATGGCGAGGCGCAGCAGTAATCAGCGTCCTGTTCTTCTCCTCATCCGGGCCATCATCATCCTCGTCACCCTCCCTGCCCTGATGCTGACCTAGATTCTGCTTTTCTTCATCCTGCTGATGCTCCCGAGGACGATCCTCATTCTGACGCTGATGCTGATTGGCATCGTAATCTTGCTGACGCTCACCATCCCTCCTCCTCCTCCTCCGCCTCCTCCCCCTCCTCCCCCTCCTCCGCCTCCTCCCCCTCCTCCCTCCCACCACGAGTATCGTCCTACTGATACCTTAGCCACAGCGTAGCTAGCTGTCCTGCCGCTGCCCCACCACCACTGCCTTCTTCAAATACGGACTTTCCTCGCCATCGCCGCGCTCCTCCTCCTCCCCCCCCCTCCTCCTCCTCCTCCTCCTCCTCCTCCTCCTCCTCCTCCTCCTCATCATCATCATCATCATCATCATCATCATCATCATCATCATCATCATCATCATCATCATCATCATCATCATCATCATGATCATCATCATCATCATCATCATCATCCTCATCCTCATCCTCATCCTCATCATCATCATCATCATCATCATCATCATCATCATCATCAGCTTCAGCATCAGCATCAGCATCAGCATCAGCATCAGCATCAGCATCAGCATCAGCATCATCATACACATCAGCATCAGCATCAGCATCGTCATCACCATCTTCACCATCACCATTACTACTTGACGTTGACACCTGGTGGCCTTCTCCCTTTCTCGTTACTGCTGGTCCTCTGCAGCTTTCTGGGTCAAATGCGGGGACCTGACTACAGTCGGCCCAGATTAGTAGGTCGACCCTGCCAAATCAAGGGTACCCTTGTGTCCTGTGTCTCGCGACCCGTGCTTCCTACATTCCTGTGGCAATGTGGCCCTTGGAAGGGTCTTGTGTCCTCTCGCGTGTCCTGTCCAATCGAGTCCGACTGTAGCTTACCGCATGGGTCAGCTCCTCGCCGAGTCCGTTCGCTCACGCTCTCGCGAATTCTCCTCGTTTCTTTTTCCTTCGAGATGGCCCGAGGATCTACTTCAGAGCTCTCCCGAGCTGGTACCGCGGGGCCCTCCGAGCCCAGTGTTGTGGAGGACGATCGATGGAGAGGAATCGTGTTGCCAAATGATTTCCAGATGTCTAGGAAATGCGTTCAGACTTCTTAAACATAAAAAAAACATGCTTTAAACATTTTCAGGACATTTCTCTGACATTTTAAGCACATTTGTAATTCGATGATAGGGCTGTTAGGGTGTCCATTGCCGTGGCGTCCACACGCCCAGTGACGAGGTGATCCACTCTGCCTGTGAGGGCTGGCGGACAGCAGCGAGGGCTGGTGGACAGCAGCTGCTGGCTGTGAGACAAGGTTCGACATAGCGGTCGAGGCCTGCCAGAACTCAGGTTCGTTGGCGAGCAAGTTCGTATTCTTCTTTGTCCCGTTCTTCGGTTTCTTCGCTCGCCTCAGCTGCTGCTTCGGGTTGTTGCTCGGTCGCCTCAGCTGTGGGAAAAGCTTGGGACCAGGCCACCCGAGTAGTGCAAAGGCGGATTGTGGCCGGGTGGGTTCGTGCTGGTGAAGTAAGTACCTGGGGGACCAGACGTGGCACACACGGCTTGTGGTGGCAGCAGTGGGCCAGGCGACGGGTTAGTGCTTCATTCTAGTCCCGGACGGAGACTTGTGCGTCGAGCGTCTGGTGGCGAGTGATGGCGGTGACATCGCCTCGGTCAAGGTTTGCATGCAAGGCGGGGCGACGCCGCTCGGCATCCACCACGCCAGGATCTTCGGGTTCGATCCGCTGCCCGGGTAGGACTCGCCGGAGGACCTGTACGCCGAGACGGCGGCGTTGGTGGACGAGGAGCGGCGCGTACTGGAGTGCGGTGCTCGTCCCCGAGCTGCACGAGGTGCTCCCGCGGTTGTTGCCGCCGTGCCGCCAGGCGCGGAGGGAGTCCCTCCAGCGCCTGGTTGGGCGGGCCGGGTGTCGACGCCTGCTGGCACCGAGTGGGTTTATGCCGAGACCGCCTTCGGACGTGAGAAGGGCGGCCGAGCGGGGGGAGTCTTCGAACACGAATCCGTGATGAAGGCTCTCACCAACGCAGGCTCCTGCGACCAGGGTGGACCTCGCGAGCCTCGCCTTCCTGCAGCATCTGTGCAGGCGGGCCCAGCTCATCGAATATAGGTACCGCGATGAGATCAGGGACGTCGATCGCGACGCCCTCGGCAAGAATGCCCTCCCGCACGACGAGCAGAAGGTGTTCATAGGGGGAGGGTCGGGGCGGCGGCGTCGTGATGGTGGCGCCTCCCCTGATGGAGCACGTCGCCAAGGAGCTCGAGAGGGAGGCCGCCATCGCCAAGCTGGCGCGCCGGGCTCGCGAAGAGCGGGGGACTGCGCGCACCAAGGAGCCATGCACGAGTCACGGTCGCCGGCGAGTGCCCGGCAGGCGGCGACGGGGCACCGCGCTGGCCACATGCGGGCTGACCGCCCTCGCGCAGCGGTGCCGACCACGGGCTCTGGAGAAGAGGCGTGTTCAGAGGGGCGGTCTCCTGCTGGCGCCCGCCGGGTGCCTCGAAGCGCGGGCGCCGGGCGGGGAGGCCACCCACAGGTGTCTCTTGCTGTGCCGCGCATGGGGGAAGCTTTCTGGCGGCGGGGCCCCCTTGCAGTTTCGGGGATGGCGCTGCACCAGGACGCGCCGCCCTCGCTTCAGGCCAGCACGTTGCAGACCAGGCGAAGGCCATTGGCTCTCCTCCTACAGACCTGACCCCGTCGACCGCCTGTCGCGACGTGGCCCAGTCCACCGATTACCGCGTTGAGCGAGTGGACGTCGCCGTCATCGACCTGGGCCTCCTGTACCTTCCCCCTGGGGGTCATCAGCCAGTCTCATGGACGGAGCTCTTGGGGACTGGGGGCGTGGTGGAGATCGGGCGGTCTTGTCCGGGGCTTATCTGGGCAAGCGAAGTTGCGGCCCAGAGCACAGCTTCACTCAAGCTTAGACGGCCCCACATTGACCGCGGGCTCGCTCGTCGGCTGCGTCTCTACGCTAAGCTGGTGGAGATGTTTTTCAAGAGTGGACTCATCGACTTCAGTGCGGATGTGACTTGGGAGTGCGGAGTTTCTGGGGCCTGGGAGGAGCCCAGCTAACAGAGGGTGGTGATCGATACCCATCTGTCGAACGCCCACTCCGGCACCGCCCGAGGTACTTCGCTTCCTACCGGGGCGGTCTTCGCTGAGCTCGACCTCGAGCCTGACGACGAGGCGTGGTTCAGCGCGTTCGATTTCAAGGATGCGTTCTACTACGTCGGGCCGCCCGAGGCGCTGAGGACTTTCTTCGGCCTGCCGCTCGTGATCGCGATGGTTCTCGACTTGTTGGCCGACACCCTGAAGCACTCTGAGGCTGGGCACCTTTGACCGAGTTTCGGCTTTCCCGATGGGGTGGTCACGCGCTCTGTGCTGGGCTCATCTGGCTCATTGCTGGGTGCTGGCCAGGGAGTTCACCGAATTTGATGTCGAGGCTCTTCCTCGCCGACAGTCGCGTGCTGCCTGGCGTCCACCGCGGCGTGATCGGCTCGTGCGCGGACAGCTTCGTGGCGGCGGGCGCCTCGGCCGCGGCTGCCGACAGAACTGCGGGCCGAGCTGCCCGTGCTTTCCAGACGGTGGGCCTGCAGCCGCGGGACGTCGTCCTGGCTGCGTCGCTGGCGGCTGAGGCTCGCGCTGGAGCGCGCCCTCACTCGCAGCGACGTGTCAGGGCTCGAGGTGCGACAGATTGTTGGCCGCTTCACTCTTGCGCGCTTGTCCAGGTTTTTTTTTGTTCTGCGCGCAAGCGCTGTGCGCTTTTTCGCCGAGTTACCCCTCCGAATGTCATAGAGCGTGGCCTTCCTTTCGGCGGGAACTCCGATGGATTCGGGGCCTTTCTGCCCTCCAGTCAAGGCCTGGAGGAAGGAGTGGATTCGCTGAGTCGTGTCCGCCGAAGCCTCCGAGCTAGGGCGAGGAGTCGTCGAGGCCCACTTCTCCGAGGCACTTGTCGGGGAGCGCGGTGGCTGGAGTGGGCGATGGTGGTTCAAGAACGGAGGAGGTGGCGCGGGTGCTCGGGGCGCCGCAGATTTCGTGAAGTCAGATCCTCTTTCGCAAGGGTCGGACGTGTCCGAGACCGACGTCATTGTCGAGACAGACGTTGCCGCGCATCCGTCGGCTATTCCCACAAGTTCGCGCCTGTTCCAGGCCGCGAGATCAGTGAGGGATTCTGGGCGAAATCTGGCCGGGTACTCGTCGGACGTCGCCGTTCCTGAAAGTCATCGAGCTGCCGATCATGACTGCGTGCGTCCAGGGGGTCATTGCCGCGGTGGGGGTATCGGGCTGGAATGCCGGGGCGAATCGCGTTTTTCTGGAGAGGCGCGTTCCTGGGGCCCTTTCCCGCTCCCACCTTCCAAAGACGGTCATCACGTGGGAGTGCCCTGGGATCTAGTCGATGTGTGGGGACTGGAGCGAAGGGGGCGCGTCGCTGTCCGGGAAGGGCGTGCGCTGGTCTGGGGGCTCGGACATCAGCTGCGTGACGCGTCCTCGTTCGATCATCGGGAACTCTTCGTCTCAGACTCTGTGGGGGCCCTTCTGGCCCCGGCCGGAGGGAGGGCAGCTCGGGTGGCTTTTGCTCGGTCTGCCGCCAGTTCTTCTTTCTTTCAGATTTCGGCTCGAGTCCATGGACTGCCTGTGCTATACCTCTCCGGAGACAGATTGGCGGCGCTGTGTGCCATGTAAAACTGTTGGAACCACAGGGGGAGGGGAGGAGAGGGCCGGCAGAGGGGGAGGAGGAGGAGGAGGAGGAGGAGGAGGAGGAGGAGGAGGAGGAGGAGGAGGAGAGAAGAGGAAGAGGAGGAGGAAGGAGGAGGAGGAGGAGGAGGAGGAGGAGGAGGAGGAGGGAGGAGGAGGGAGGAGGAGGAGGAGAGGAGGAGGAGGAGGAGGAGGAGGAGGAGGAGGAGAGGAGGAGGAGGAGGATGAGGAGGAGGAGGAGGAAGAGGAAGAGGAGAGGAGGAAGAGAGGAGGAGGAGAAGAGGAGGAGGAAGAGGAGGAGGAGGAGGAGGAGGAGGAGGAGGGGAGGAGGTGGAGGAGGAGGAGGAGGAGGAGGAGGAGGAGGAGGAGGAGGAGGAGGAGGAGAAGGCGTTCAACAGAAGAGCGCTCAGAAGGCGTTCGGAAGGAGAAGGCGTCTGCCGCCAGTTGGCCGCGCTTTGTCTCGCTGGCGGGGCGGCACCCGGGCCCCGGCGGTGTCCTTGGGGATGGAGAGCCCTCGTGGCGGCCCCTCCCGCTTCGCGCATGCCGCCGACAGTGATCCCCATCAAGAAGAGTCGGGGGTGGACAGAACCCCCAACAGTGACACGCCGATTCGTGAATTGTCCGTTGTCGGTTCTCGAGGGGGCGCCGTGGCCGTTATTTTCCAGGCTTGCGCCCGCCAGGTTTGGGCCTCAGGTTGTTTTCACTAAACCACGTTTTGCTAAAGGGGGGGTCTGTCCATCCCCGAAAGAGTATCGTGAAACTCGACGGCGGCCTGGCGATGAGTCGGGGCGCAGTTGGTGCGCTGCCCGGTCGGGCGACCGCCGTCCTCGGTTGAGGGTCGGAGGAGCGAGGTCAGCTGCTCTGGCGAACTGCCGATCGGGGCGAGGAGGGCCCAGGGCGGTGCTGGAGAAGCATGCCGTGGCCCCGGCCTCGAAGCTGCAGTGTGCCACGATGCGGGGCAGCCTCCAGGGCCGGGCGGAGTGCCGCGCGCTGCCTCGTTCGCCTCCGTCGGCCCTTGGGCGCGACGCTCGCCCAGTACTCGGAGTGCCTGTGCTTCGAGGGGCGCGACTCCTGGCATGGGGGCCGGGGTGGTCGCGGCCATCGGCTTCTTCGTGCCGGGGGTCTCGCGCCACGGAGCTGGCAAGCTCCCCCGAGCGCGTCTTGCGGCTCACGGATGGCTGAAGCTGTCGCTTCTCCGAGCCCGACTGCCGATCCACGTCGAGGTGGTAGCGTCCGCCGTGGTGGGCATATGCGCGCGTGGCGAGAGGGGAACTGCTGCCGGTGCCCTCCCGGCGACGACGCGCTACCTCGTGCCGCCCGACCGCTTCGCTGGGGAGGGCCGCCTGCACCGTTCCATTGCGGCAGGTTCGACGTCTCGCTGGCGCTCGGCGACCCGAACCACGTGGCCCTCTACGGGTACCTCGCCACGCCTCAACAAGCGCGCCCTCCTTCCAGACGAGACGCCCCTCGGCTCGTCCCGGGTCCAGCGCGCGAGGCTGTTCGGCGGGGTGGCGTGCGAGCGGCGCCAGGGCTCGCTCGGTCCGCCGACGCCCTGCCGGCGGGGGCGCGCGGAGGCCGCGGGCGACCGAGCAGCCCGCCTTCGGCTGCTCGTCGGCATGGAGGGATGGGGGCGCTGTCCGGTGGGCCCATCGGTGAGGAGGTGCGAATTGAGGGGCACCTGCGAGGGCGGCTCCTTCGATTGCCCGCTGTTCTGGAGGCGCATTGCAAGGCGGGTCGCCCGATGTTCGAAGAGCTCCTCCTCAGTCGCTCCAGGCCTTTGCCAGTGCCGCAGCTCTTCCGATCTGAGGAGAGTTCGTGCCCCGCTTGTCTTCTTGGGGGTTTTCTCTGGGCGTTGGCCGCTGTCGCGGGCTCCGGGGCGTCGGGGCTGGCTCTGTCTCGAACGGGGCCTCAAGCGTGGAGAGAAGGCCTCGCTCGCAAAGCGATCCAATGTACAGCTGATCGTTGGGTGGATCACAGCAGGTTTCACCTGCCCCCCCACTTCGGCACTCCCTGTGGCAGCTGGAGCGTGGCTGGTGATCGCCTGGGCTGACCGC